GGAAAACCTGCTCATGACCAGGTTAGTTCTGGGGAGAATGTTACTACGGTAACAGAAACAGAGGTTGAGAAACTCTTTGTAAAACAGAAAACTCAGTTTTCTGATTTTAGGTTTAGAAAACTTAGTTTTCAATAAACCTGCTTTGTAAAACAGGCCTCTGTAAGGCAATTTTCGAAAAGACGTGAATTTGTAAAACTCCAACTGGAAAACAGAAACAAAATACATTTGAAAATGTTTGGGAAAAAAAAAACTATTAAAAAATTATATATGAAAAAAGACTTAAATGTGAGAAGACAAAATTACTCTCAACATTTTTTTTTATATAATTAGGAAGTTCTTCAAATTGTATTTAAAGATTGCATTTTTTTATTTCCATTTACAAAACATAAATAATGTAACAGTATTACCTCCATACAGATTTAGGGACCCTGACTATAATCTGGAGTGGGGGCTGTTATTACCTGGAGCAGGAAGTATGCTATGCTCTCATTCCCACAGCTCGCGGCCAGCATCAGGGGGGTCAGGCCTCTTGGTGTGGTCGCATTCACATCCACTCCAGCCTCCAGCAGCAGATTAGCAATGTTGTCATGTCCGATGTAAGAAGCATACATGAGCGGGGTCCATCCTCCCTTGTTCTTCCTATCCAGGTCCACTTCACGCCTGCTAGACATGTCAGTCAGCTCTAGGGTCGAGCTAGCATAGTTTTATTTTTATTGCTTAAAGGGACTTACTTTTTAACGCATTCAGCCACTACGTCGTACTGGCCGATGGAGCAGGCAGTGTGGAGATCCAGAGGGACATCCAGCTCCTCGGGTCGCAGCAGGGAGTCCCCCAGCCACAGGGAGAGGCTGGCCCCCAGCTGCTCCGACTCACTGGCCTCGTCACTTAACTCGGACATTTCCCTCAGTGCTCAAACTAACAGAAAAGTCCTCAGACAACTCAGAACCAGAACCAGAACCAGTCAGATGTAAAACACAACAAGCTGCTGCTCAGTTTATCAGCTAGCTTAGCTTAACTGTAAACCCAGTTAAACTACACCGGTTGTCCTCCTCCTCCTCCCAACACAATAACTACAACACAAGTGAGGCAAGATTTTACAGCGTCCAAATCTAAATAACCGAGCTTACATCCATGAAGAGGCTCGTTTCATCCAGAAACACCGACGCGTCGGCGCGTGCGTAGAACTCTTTGGGAAAAAGTTGTGTCTGTGCGCGTGTCGTTTTAAGACAGTCACGTGACCACCACAGGAGCCGTTTGGAACTGACTGAAACTGTATTTATAAGCGCACCTGTATACTACCCTTTTAGAAAATGGAAATTTTCCTCACAATTTCACGTCACCGCCTTGTAAAACAACATAGTTATTATAAACCCTTTGCAATAACCCTGGATAATAATCCTAAAAATAAAAAATAAAACAAATATACTGTGTATATCCCATGCCACTTTTTCTTCTACAGAGGCGTAGCCAGAAAATTTTAATAAGGGTGGCCAAGCAATAACCAATTTACAGTGAGAGGTGGCCAAAAGCAGATAGGTGCCAGAACCTAAGAGTCAATCTACACTGTTCCAACAGGAAAATGAACAATCACATTATCCATATTTTCTAAATAAAGACAAACTATACTTTCCTACAGCCTGTGCTAACAAATAGACACATATATTTAAACATCCATGTTGTCTAAATAAAAGGTGTGGTGGGCAAAATTCTTTCAGTTTTGAGTTCTGTTGCAAACATCTTATTCATTGTCATTACTAACCTACTTTTTGGTCATCATGTTCCTGTCAGTTATCACTCAAGCTATCTTAATTTGAATTCAATGCCTGTAGTTTTTTTTTTTTTTTTTTTATCCTAGTCCCCAAGCCTCCTCTTTCACATGTTCACATTATTACTGATATGTTGTAAATATTTTTAAATTAAGATGTGAAATAATACAATACAACAGTGAATGACCTAAATTAT